TCTGCCCTCCACTCGGGTCATGATCCCGGGGTCCCGGGATCGAGTCCCGCATCGGGCTCCCTGCTGAGTGGGGAGCCAGCTTCTCCCTCTCCCACTCCCCCTGCTTGTGTTCCCTCTCTCGTTGTGTCTCTCTCTGTGTGTCAAATAAATAAATAAAATCTTAAAAGAAAAAAACAATGCACATTTTCAAGAAAACACACAAAAAGGGGCACTTTGAGCCTACTACAGTGTTGTACCAGAGATGGGAGGAAATTGGGGGTATTTTCCCCTAATGTTTATTTTGAAATTTTCAAAGGCATAGAAAACTCACAAGAATAGTAAAATGAATACCCACATACTACTCTCCTAGATTCGGTGGCAATTGTTACTACCTTGCCACATTTGTGCTCAGGTGTATGCACTGTCTCTCCCTCCCGCTCCCTCTCTCCATCCCTCCTCTATATTAATATTAATGTATACCGTATTTTGATAGTGTATATAAAATATATACATATATTTTTTGTGAGCCATTTGGAGTTGCAGCCATCACAAATTTACCACTAAATAGTTCAGTGTGTTTCTCCCCAAAATAAGAACATTCTCTTATCTAATGACAGTACAATGCTCACATTCAGGAAATTTAACATGGATGTATTATCTAATATCTACTCCACATTCAAATATCCTTGATCATCCCAAGAATATCTTTCATAGCTGTTCTATCCTTTTTTTTTTTTTGTAATTTTTATCAAGGACCCAATCAAGGATCATACATTCATTTTGGTTGTCACCTGTGTCTCCTTCAATCTAGAACTGTTCCCCAGCATTCCATTCATTCATTCATTCATTCAATTAATGGATTGATTTTTCCTTTCCTGACATAGATCTACTTGAAGAGTCCAGGCATTTTTGGTTTTTGTTCTTTGGTTTTGGGTTGTTTGTTTGTTGGCAGAAAGTCCCTTAATCAGAAGTATCTGGTTATGTCCTCATGAGTAGATCCAGGTTGAACACTTTGGGCAGGACCAAGTGCTTTGCAAGTGATGTTGTGTCCTCAGTACATCACGGCAAGGGGTATGTGAGGTCGACCTGTCCCATCACTAGTGATGTTAGTTTTTTTTTT